ACAGTCTAAAGAGCGAATAAGATCAAGAATGCCATCATAAGACAGAACAGTCCCATAGCCTCTGAAAGAGCAAATCCCAGAATGGCATAAGAGAAGAGCTGCTGCTTCAATGATGGATTTCTGGCATAACCAATGATCAATGAACCAAAGACTGTTCCAATACCTGCACCACTACCTAAAAACACAAAAAAGACGATACTAATTATTGAAAAACCTTTTTAATACCTCCCATGATGGGGATAATTGCTGGAAAAGGGTAGCACCAAATTTTACTTTAAATTTGTATGACCACTATACATAAAAAGATATGACATTGAGAATGGAAACTAATTGGAGTCATAGATTTACTTTATGACCTCCAAAAGATAGAGCTCAAGATAAAAAATATATTTCTACTGAAAGGCTATCATAGATATAAGTACCATTTAAACAAACAAGATGATTACTGAATACAAATAAAATTAGTGTTTTATTCTCAGTTAAATCTTAATCACTCCTTTAAGGAATCTGTTTAAGGAATTGATCCTAAAACAGATTATTTTATTTTCTATTTGTAACAGAGCAAGTTGAGGTAGCCACAGAATTAAACCATGAAATAGCAATTGCCGCGCCTTTTTCTCATCTGATAACCTCTCAGTACAAGCAAATGCTAAGTAGTTACCTGCAGCTCCAACAGTGGCAGCTCCAGCACCAATAAATTTGGCAGCAGATTCAATGTCCCTGGAAATGGCAGTAGTTCCAAAATTCCTTGCAAGGAATGGATTAGCTAATGGTGCCAGTTGCATTCCAGCAGCCTACAAAAGGTTACACGCTATGGTATCAGACACTTAAAAGTTACAATAATGACATTTTTAATATGAAAAATACTTTGTAGTATATATATAGTCATGGCGGGCAAATTTTACGCATTTTTTATCAACTTTGAATTTATGGACAAAAACAAAGTAATTTGATGACCTGAATATACCTGGCGCAATTATAGCCAATACTTAATTAGCAGACAACAATAGATGATAAAATCAAAACTGCTTACTAATTATTTAATTAATTTTAATTGCGTAAAGATTAGCCGACCTTTCCGTCAATTCTTACGCGGCATCGGTTATATTTTACGCACATCAATTTCTAAATAAAACCGGAAACACCAACCAAATATTGTGGTTGCCTGCAATTCAAAATTGACCACAAGCATTGAGTACAACAAAATAAAGCTACTTGCAGGAAATGGAGGTCGAGCGTGTTTTATTGTGTCATTTTTATGGATATAAAACATTGAAGTGGAAAAAAATTAATTTATATAAACGATGTTGCTTTTAAAATACTAAAGGTTAAATATCGACAGAACGATGTAGATAGTCTCGCTGTTATTGTTTTTAAAACGTAAAAAAGTTTGACGAATATTCGTGTTCGCGATCAATTTTTGAAATAATGTCAAACGCCCGCTTAACATCTTCATAATCTGGGACCTCCCACTTGTTTCCCTTTACTGGTTTTACAAGTAAGGGGCCGGCAAAAACATTCTCAATATCGAAGAGGTCTATATCCCTCGGTAAATGTGATGGAATTCCTTCCAAGACCGTCCCACTGCCAAAATGTGGCTTTAAACAATCAAGTTCGATGCCAGTTGCTGGCCCATCCACATCCGCCAAAAATCTCTTTGTAACTTTGCCAATGTAGATTTGCTGACTTTTTTTCCCTAAAAAAATCGCGGCATACCATTTCCCAATAATTTCAACTTCTTCCACTGGGGGGCACAGAGACTGCCAGAATTCTTTTAAGTAGATTGTGGCTTGGCGCTGAGTAGTGGGTGGGAAAGAAGGGTTTGTTGCAAGATCGTCTTCGCTTACATCATCATCACTGCTCTCTTTTTCTGACTCAGAAAGAACCTCTTCTTGGATTTGGAAGGAATCGTCGTCAGCCTTCAGCTTTTTTGGTCGCCCTCTCTTTCTTTTCACTGTTTCGTTGCCTTGCTTTTCTTCTTTCTCCTTAATTGCATTCAAGTAATCCTCGTCGCTGATAACTTTTGTCATCAAGTCTATCTTGCGGCGCTTCTTTTTTGGCTGATCGATGGGTCCTTTCATTTTTTCAAGAATAAGTTCTTCAAAACTCCGGTTTTGGCTTTGTTGCGGGGACGGCTCATCTTGTAGGTGCCATATTGGGACCCATACTTTTCCAGGAGGGGCTGGACAAGGAAAAGGACCAAGTTTTTGTGCCAGACCACATGGACAATCATCATTAGAAACAGGCGTTTTTGAAGGGGTTGATGTAGCTTGTGGCCCCATGGGTCGCTTGGAAGGAGATCTTCCTTTTTGTGGGCTAGCCTTTTTGGGCGAACGAACCCCAGTAGCAAGGTCATTTAAAAGCTCTTTCGGTCGACCTGCTTGTACCCATGCATCGTAACGCTTAATAAGACGAGTGTCAAAACGCTCAACCGGGAATTGCTTTCTGTCAACCGGGTAAACACCTGTAGCCCTAAAGCCAGCTCTAATATTTTCAGGGGACAAACCCTTATGCCAAATATCCCCCAACTTATTAACAAATTGGGCTTTTCTTATAGGCTCCCGGGGACCATAATCATTAATCCAGCTGTTGAGCGTTTTCTCCCAAAGTCTTTTCAAAGGCCCAAAGCAAGAAACATCAAGTGGCTGTAACTTATCAGTTACATGAGGGGGTAGCTTGACAAGAATAACATTTTCTTCAATGGCTTTTTCGATTACAGAAATGGATACATGGGTCAGATGGCCATCAAAGATTAACAGCAAAGGTCTTGTTTTAATCTCCTGTGTAAAGCGTTTAAACCATCCATCAAACAGTTCTGTTGTCATCCATCCATTCTGAGATACCCCATACCACGTTCCAGGTAAAGCCCTCTCTCCCCTCCATGTTGACTGCAGATTTTTACCAGTAAAGATAACGAAAGGATCTAAGCATTTTCCCGCAGCATTGCAGACAGCCAACGTAGTTGTGTTTTCACGCCCAGCTCCACAAGTAACCTTATATGCAACTTTTCCTTTTTCACTGACTACTCTGCAGTGTCCTGGGTCACTCGGAAAGCCAGATTCATCACAGTTCCAGATTTGTTCTTCGTTTAAATTGTTAGATTTTATAATTTCATCGAGCTGGTCATAAAAATCGTAAACAACGAAGGGGTTTGCTGTTGCTGACTTTCTAGCAGAGCTGATTAAAGCGGCCTTCTTCAATGACAGGTTATTCCTCTTAGCAAACGCGTAAAACCAATCCTTGCCAGGTTTTCCAGTTTTAAATGAGGACAACAATAAGCTGTTAGCGGACAAGTAACAAGAAACAAGATGAAGAATCTCTTGAACGGTAGGGCTAAAACCAAGTTTGCACATAACCCCAATGCAAGATGCAAGCTTCCTTTCAGTTTCTTCATCAAAAGCAGTTGGACGCCCTTTTTTTTGAAGAGTTTCCCCCTTTTCTAACAATTTAGAACGATATCTAAGTGTTCCTTCAGACATCCCATATTTTGACGCAGTGCTCCTAATCGATTGTCCACTTTGAATTTCAGCCAAAGCTTGGTCAATATCCTTACTCGACCAATTTTTAGAACTTTTTTTAGCAGCCTTAGACATTTTGTTAACGAAAATTCAGTTTTCCCCTTTCTCTAAATTAATGAAATAAAGATTGCATCGTTTATTTAAACCCTGTTCCCCTTGAGTCACTGCGTAAAAATTAAACGCCTACCTCATGGGCGTCGGCTAATATTTACGCACATCCTTTAACGAAAGACGAAAAAGCATTTCTCAGCAGTACTTGAATAGGTCAAAGGTGATCCACAAAAGAGTCATTTGAATGCTTAAAAGGATTAGTTATTGTCCGCATGATGCCAGGGCAATAAAATTGATGGGTAGTGTTGATAACTTTGTACCTAGGTAAAATCTGATTCATGTCTGCCGAATGCTTTCACAAAGGCTGTCGCGCGTACCTACTGCTAAGTTTTACGTCAACAGAAAGAGGAATGACTACCTTACATGGACACAAAGTTTTTTTAGAAAAAAACAATCACATTACGTAATTTACGGCATGCGTAAAAATAACCCGACATGTTGCTGTGCGTAAGAATTACCCGCCGTGACTATATATATATAGTATATATAAAATTTGTATTTTTTAGAGCTAAGGATTGTTATCCGTTGCCAGTTTTTGTTGAAAGCCTAAAACCTTATGTAATTGTAATTGTAAATAATCAGAAAAGAACAACAAACCTGAGAGGTCTCCCCATTGCTGGAAACAACTCCTGGAAAAACAACATAAGATAAAAAATATCCATACAGGATTCAGAGATGGCAAGGAAAGAATTTTTGATGCAAATATGACGCTTCTTTACCAAGTTAACATTTTATACTTAAAACTGGGGTAAAGGAGCAAGGTGCTGACACAGCTTTCACAAAAACAGAAACCAAAATAGCAAAAAAGATATAAAAAATATACATATATATAGTTATTCCATTAATATATTGTGTGATGCATTAACAGGCAAACACATAGTTTAACAACTAGTACCTGCAGATGCTGCCTTTGACATGGTCATTAAAGTCTGGCTTTGGATAGGTCTAGTGAAAAAATTTAAAAATGAATCAGACTAAGGACACTAAAATACAAGAAACAAAAATTATATACAATTTAAAGACATTTTTCTTGATACCTTGATGTCTTTCTTCATTAAAGTTAAGTCATATTTATTACATATGATTTATCTATATATAAATATACACATGAAACTTGAATCAGCATTATGTACCTAAGGTTTGTTAATTGTACATACAATTTTGGTGTTTTATTACTAAAAGTTCCTTGGTCTTACTTTGGGGCCTAAAATTGCCTAATTGTTTTGAAGTTTAGCATTTTTGGAAGAATATCAACATAGGCTATTATGAAAAATCCCATGCAGATCAAAATCCAAAGTATACTATATTTTCCAAAGAAAAAATACACCAAATAAAAACTTTTGGGACTCTTTCATAAAAAAAGGAAAATTTACATATAGCTTCTTAATTTTTCTTGACCAAGTATGAAAGTTTCTTAAATTTTAGGGCATCCTAGTACTAGCTTGTTATAAACCAATTTATTATAAGCATACATTATATATACATATCACAACAATCAGATATAAAAAATTGTAGGATATGTAAACCACATGTAGCCCAAGAGAGGTTTCAACCAAATTTGAACATTTCAACTTAGAGCAATACAATAACTACACTCCAGACACTTAACTTAATACAATTTCTAAATTCTAATGAGTTTTTCTTATTTCTAATTTTTAGTAAAAGTACAAAGATGCAAAATATAGACATAAAAATGCAAAAAGGGGAAGGCTGTACCTTGCTGCCACCCTTCCAGTGCATCCCTAGAATGTAAAAAAGCAAATTTATTTTCAGCTATGTTGCAGCAGCTTATAAGTATGCTTGCTTTTCAAGGGAAGAAAATGGACAAAGATAGAGAGAAGAAAGAAGTTTTTCGGTAGGGGTGGGGTGGTGGGGGCTTCAGCAGAAATATACTTTGACCTTTCTGACAAAGTAAACCGAATATGAATTATTGAGATGTAGAAGAGCAGCCAAAATGCTGTTAAACGAGCAAGAAAAAAATTATTGTAATCTAGAGTAAAAGAAAATAGATTAGAGAGAGATTTACATTGAGCAGATTGATAAAAATTAAGGATAGCCAGTTAGAAAATTACTGTTATTGTTGTTGACTAAGTCTACTCTACAACATGCTACAAGTTTGACATATCAACTTTGAGAACGAAGCTATCCAAAGATTGAAGTCACTTCTGTCGATATAAGTTGTTGAATTAAGAATCTTGTAGACATATTTTTGCAGCTTACTGAAGGCTCTTCCCTTGAAACAATCCGAAAAGAACATTCACAATTTCGAGATAGACAGTAAATTTCCTTGAAAAGTTGCTGGCATGCATAAAAAAGAACTACATGAAATTTATTCTGGCCTTACAACTATATTTCACTTTAATTTTGAGCACATTTGTCGACCTTCCCGTGGAGCGCCTCGCCAAGCATAAGTCGGCCTAAGAACAGGCTAGCTGTCCGAAGCTGTGATGTTTCTCGTAGAAACAACTGAAGAAATTTACAAAACTTTTGTGTATTCTTACCGCTGCCCTGACAAGAGTTAAGGTGAATCTTGATGCAGAGTACATGGTTATTGCTTTTAATGAGACTTGTTGTAAGGTAAGTATGAACTGCACGACAGCCTGCAACTACCACCAACTTGAAGGCAAATTGCGAGAGGGAAGACAAGAGCCGCGTGCCCAGGTCTAATCTAACCATTTAATGCGCATGCGTTAGGTCACGTGTACTGCCTTCAAACGGGACTGGTGACGGGACAAATTCGAAAAAAGAAAGTTCAAAAAATCTTACAGGGAAAATATTCTATCCGACAATAAATTTACAAATTGATGCAAAAAAGGCACGAGAGGTTTTGAAAAATGATGGTACCTCTTTTGTAAAAGAATAAGAATTATGGCATTTGATGCAAAAAGGGCAGACTGGTCCAGGCACTGCGCAGCCATTAGGCTAACAGGGGCTATAGCCCCGTACTTTTTGCAATAATTGGTTAGAAAAGTTTTAGAAAGTTTACTCTAACTCAACTTTGGAAAGTTTACCTTATAAGGATTTTAAGTAGCGTACATCCTGACTAGGACTTCTTTTTGTTCATTTTCCAGGTGTTTTGTCTTGTTTAATGACATAATGCACTTGGTTAGCTTGGTGTTTTACTATCCTCCAGCTAATCTTATCTTATTATATAGTATTTATATCTTCTCTAAATCAAACTGTTTATAAAGAAATTAGTAGAAATAGGCAGTTATTTCCTGAAAGGGATGCTTTCTGGCGTTCTAAAGGGCGAAGCCTTAAAATATTTTAGTCACGCCCCCTTTTAAGCCCCCCCCCCTAACTTTTAGACTGGTAAGCAGTGCCTTACAACAATTTTTAGGGAGCTTTCATTAAATTAATAATTTGCCAGGACTTCTGCTGAGAAATCTCATAATCTGTTACCAATGGCACATGGCTGACGACCACGAGGAGGGTTGATGAGAACAAAAAATTTAAAGCTGTAACTAGGAGCCACATTCAGATCACGAGTTGTTTCACATTGTTTTATGCAGATTTTGAAAATACAACCCTTTCTAACAAAAAATTATTTTTATAAGTAGACTCAGAAAGTCAGAATCATCCAATTTATCAAAATTTTATAAGAATATTGATAAGCTTTAGCTCACATATTTGTATCACTTGGTATTGCTTGTAAAACATTTTCTTGATGTTTGAATCTTCTACTTTAGCTACCTTCCCCTAAAACCATACTAGATTTGGAAAATTAGAATATTTTTAGAAGAATATATTCAAGTTCAGAACAAAGCTTTAATAAGAATATCGAGGCTTGACAAAATTTTTAGCATTCTTATTAAAATAGAGTGGATAAAAGGCAGGGAAGGATAAAATCTAAAGAAGTATGGTTAACCGTATCAAATGGAAAGTATACGAAAAGATTAACTTACCATATACGATTGTTGATCGTGTGATTTTTGCCATCTAGGGATGCTTTGCCGTTGAATATTGAAAATTTAATGCTTCAAATTACCCCATCTTGAATGTTTTAAGAAGGACCATGGATCATGTTAGGGAGAGGGGGGTGTGGAGGATGTTAGCTTATAAATTTCGTCCACGGAATGAAATTTGTGGAGTACATTCTTAATCAAAGTTCGAAAACTTAATAACACCCGCAGATACACTAAAGTGTAACATATCAAAGCGTGTGGCAAAAGTGTAACAAAATTTTAGAAATCAGATTAGAAGAATAAAGAATATTTCAACATTATTTACTTTGAGGTGTAAAAATTGTAAATTATGTAATTTATTATTAAATGAAAGTTCATACGGAGTTGGCACTGCGACCTTGGGGCTAAGATTCAAGATAAGTGACATAGAAGGACCCCCCCCCCCTTCAGGATGGGGTCCGACGCAGCAGAAAAAGTTTTGAAATTAAGCCTCTCAGAATGGACAAAAATGCACTTTCCAGATTCAAATTTAACAAAATATACCACTATACCACTCAGAATGAACAATTCAATGTTTCTCAGAAAATCATTGATTATTTATTTTTAGGAAAAACATTGTACGTTTACACATCCAAAATGCAGACACTGCAATGATACAGAGAGTTATCTACTGAATTGATATTTGCAATAGACAAATAATAGTATAAATTAGGTATAAATAAAATAAAATCAAGCAGTATATAAACAGTTTTTTGTCGTTTATAAAAATAACATACGCTGCTATTTTGAAATTGGTAGCTGAGTTTCGAGTTGTGCCAACTGACATTGCCTACAGTACATGGAAACTTATCATAGTCACAAGAGTTCAATTCATGTATATTTTCAACAATAATCAACTAAATACAGTATCAAAATAAAATTTTGATATTTTAAAGCTACATTAGACAATTATACAAATAAGAAGAATAGCAATACATCAATTTACCGGAATATTGCTGAAGGATATATGGAAAGAGCTCTGAAAGAGCTTTCGGGCCATATGCCCCCAGTGACGTGTTAATAGATCAAGAACAGTTAATATACATGCATTCGATACTAAAATTTAAGAAAAGGTTTTATTATAAGGATAAAAATAAAGATGAACATTAAGAAGATAAGAACAAACTAAATCGATTGTAAAAAAAGAAAGGGGAAAAAGGGGTTAAGGATCATCTTGTATTTTTAGGTGTGTTCTTGAAGTAACAATTGTTTAAAAAGACATGAAAAGGTTTTTTTGGAAGCAACACTTTTTATGTTGCTTGGTATGTTATTCCAAATTTTTATACCAGCATTTGTTATGAATAAAGATTTGTAGTTTGTTCTAATTTGAGGCTGGAAAAAGTTACCGCTAGTAGCTTGTCGGGTTCTAATGTTATGACACTCAGTAGTAAGATGAAAGAAGTCACAAATGTAGCTATCAATGTTGCCTTTTGAAACTTCAAACATAAATTTAGCACATTCAAGTTTGTACATATAATCGAAATTTAGGATGCCTAATGACTTGAAGAGAGGCTTACTATGACATGTACTATTTTTGAAAAGAATTAATCGCACGGCGTGTTTTAGCTTCTGTTTCAAAGGGTCCAGAGTATTCGAGTATGCCCCCCCCCCCAGTTTATCAGACTATGATTGTATGGGGAAATAAAAAAATTATAAATACTAAGTAATATATCCTTGGGTAGAAAATGTCTTAATTTGGCTAAAATACCAAGGCTTATGGAAATTTTTATGTTAACATTTTGGATATGTGGTTTCCAGGTGAGATTCTTGTCTATCAGAACTCCGAGGTATTTAACATAATCTGATTCTTTTAATTGTTCACCATCAAAAGATATATTAATGGTTTTAAGGTGCCTTCTTATGACGTGGCTTGATAACCAAGAAGTGAGATTTACTTGTGTTTAGGGTCAACATATTAGCAGCAAGCCAAATGTTACTAAAATGTTAAAGTTATTATGAGAATACAGCAAACTGGTATCATCAGCAAGTAGATGAAAATTTAAAATTTTAGATGCATTTGGCATGTCATTTATATAAAGCAAGAAGAGCAGTGGGCCCAAAACACTACCTTGAGGCACGCTATATTTAACATCCATGTCGTTAGAGAGCTCACCACCTACAGAAACTCTTTGGGATGTCTCATTTAAATTGGATTTGAACCACTCCAAGGGAACACCTCTAATGCCATGATATTCGAGTTTACGAAATAGTATTGTGTGGTCAACAGTGTCAAAAGCTTTTGCAAAATCAAGGAATATACACTTAGCTTCAATTAGCTTAGCACAAACATCAAAAATGGCCAACGATGTCGACTTTTTCTTTTGAAAACCAAATTGATGAGGATACAGTATTTTATTTTTTTCGAGAAATTTAATTGAGCGAGAGTACATGAGTTTCTCATAAATCTTGTTTATTAAAGGCAACGAAGATATTGGATGGTAATTGGAAGCTTCATGTGGGGAGTTAGCTTTGAACATAGGCGTAAACTTAGGGGGCTCTGGGGCTTTAGCCCCTCCTGACGAAAACCGAGGGGGGGCTGAGCCCCTCCTAGAAAATAAGGAAGTGCTTTACCAACTTTGAGATTAATTTGTTATATTATTGGTTTCACGCATAAGATTTGTTGCATTTGATAATTGCGTTTACAGCAAAGTAAAGGATGAAATTATTGTGAACATAAGGTCAGATTGTGTGTTTCTTTTTCCTCGATAATGAAAAATGCACGGAAAATTCACCTTTAAGCCTTTAGCTAATCCACTTTTTATCCTGTGACATCAGCAGCTGCCATTAGGAATTGTCAATAATTTTTTGAGCCCCCTCTGAAAAAAATGCAAGTCTACGCCTATGGCTTTGAATATAGGTAATACCTTAGCAAACCAGGGGCGGCGGACAGTGCTATAATTGCTATTACTGTATTAGCAATTTTTCAAGGCCACTTTGTGTGTAATGTAAGGAAAATAAAACGAAACACAAAAATTTTCAACAGCGGTTCTAGTTGTAATTGCCTCATTCAATCAAACTAAAGTAGCCGCAGCAGACCAGCCACAGAGCGGCCATGCTATTACTTTGGCCTTTTTTATAGCAAATGAAGGAAAACAATAGTACATTATATCATAACTCCCTTTGTTTGCAGCGCAACAGGCTATTGTTTGGAACGCAAATCCCGCTGCTTTGCTATTACAATCTCAGATTTAATAGCAAGAGATCAGATAGGTGTTCATCTCGAGGAGAACGAAGTAGCTTGACGCGAAAAAAAAACAAATCGTTTCGCGTCTGCTTGTATAGATGTATTATAAGTCAGGATGTTTCAATGGCTTTCTTCCTTTTATATTTGCAAATTTAGGCAAATTAACTCATGACCAGGGCCTTCGCCTCAAAATGATGGACGTCCTAACCCGATGTTGAAGTTAGTAAGGCCTGGTTCAAACGTCGCGCTTCTCATGTGCCGAACCTAACTCGAGAATTAAGTACATGAGGGGCGCGACGTTTGAATCAATTTGGTACGGCAGATTTAATTAGGAGCGGCAGACTAGTTTGGATCGGCAGAGCTTGCCGAGCTGCACGGCTCCAGCACGGCACGGTTTCAAGCGTCGAACTTGTCATGTACCGAACCTAATGCATAATTATATTTAATTCATTTTCTTTCACAGAAATATTTTCTTTCTTTGAGGGCGCATGCGTTTCAAATAAATATTTGAGATTGTGCGCCTTAACCAAGATACTTCATGTAACAATCCTAAAACCCATTTGGCGCGACTTGATTAAGTTCGACGTTTGAAACGGGAGTCGCGCTAAAGGTGCTCAAGTGTCGCTCCAAACAGAGTTAGGTTCGGCACATGAGAAGTGCGACGTTTGAACCAGGCCTAAAAAGCCGATTCAGAAAAGTTTTGACTTAAGGTGATTCAGATATAAAGTACACTTTATTTCTGGCATTTTTAGTTATAGTGAATGAGACCATTATGCTGCTTTTATAAACTTTCAGACAAACTTCTCACGGGGAACTAATACGCTCTCTGGAACCAAATTAGACCACAGTGGCAATCTTGCTATAATACAGTGTACCTTTAATAGCAAGGGGCTTTCCCAGATGGCAAAGAGCCGCTGGGGTCTATCGGCCCCAAAGTGTAGCCACCTTTCACAAAGACTATCAGTCTATGCGTTAGATTAGTGGCTCCACCCGTACATACGGACTTTGAGAAAAGAGATATAGGTCCTAAAACAATCGTTTAAAAACTCACTAATAAAGAACTCACAGGGTAGATATATTTGTGGTAATAGCAACTTTATATCACTCCGCGCCGCCCCTGTAGCAAACTTAAGTGCTTTGGGGTAATAACCAGTACTAAATGAAGTATTTATAATATCAGTTAAAGGTCATAGCAGTCTGGAGCTTTGGATTCATCCAAATTATTAATTTGATCTAATACCTCAACTTCTAGTACAGGTGATACAGCAAAGCTATCTTCCTGGGGGTTATTCAAGTAATCACTAAATACTTTTACGAATTGGTTTTACGAATTTTACTAACCAGGCTCTTGGCAATGCCTGTGAAATAATTATTCAATTCATTTGCAATTGTTTTATGGTCTCTAACTAATTTTCCATCGATGTTGAGGGAAATGTCATTTGTCGCCTTGTTTTTTTGTCTGTTAATTAATTCATTTATACCTTTGCAAACTTGTTTCGAATTATTTTTACATGATTCAAAATATGACCTATAATGGTTAACTTTACTTCGTCTGATGAGATGACTTAAAGTATTTCTATAGTATTTATAGCGTTCATACATGTTGTGCCAACTGACATTGCCAACAGCACATGGACACTTATCATAGTCACAAGAGTTTCTCGTGACTAGCAAACCATTTCTAAACTCCGTAGAAATTTAAGAGAAAAGAACTTGCGGGAAATGACCATTCATTTTCGCTCTTGTGTTTCAAAGGTATACGTGCATTAGGCCATGGCATCATGGCATCAATGTTTATGACTTCATCATGCTTTTTTGTTGAATTGTCAATTATCACGCAGGCGCAGTAATGTTACGCAATTATTGGGACGAACTCCGCCTCCGCGTTCCTAGTTCTTATTGACAGATCCAAAGTGTAGTCGACCACAGCGTGGCGGAAAAGTTTTGCAAAATGATTCCAAGAAGGAGGTTTACAGAGCTTGCTAAATGTACTGCTAGGGTAAGAGAACACTATTTAAGCTATTGCTACCTGAAAAACATAAATGCTAGCACCGTTATTGGACAATTCACGCTACTTTCGAGTTAGGCCCAACCCTCTCATGTCAACCGATTAAAGAGCTATCCAGTTAAATTATGTTTGCCATGTGGGGTTTGTAATTAGGACCCTTAACCTTATTTGAAAATAAACTGTTAATTACTGCTATTGGAAGGGGAGACCAGACTTTATTTTCACTGATATAATGTTTCGAATCGTTTCTTTTTAGTTAACGAGAAGAGACTTGCAGAATGCCCTCAGCATCGGCGTCAGAAGTCTGTCATCAAATGCCTCAACTGAATCAAACTTGGTATGCATTCTTTCTTTATATTTAAATTGCCGTTTATTTTCCTGCAAGAAGGTAACAAGTAAGCACGGTAGCTGGTTTTTTAGGAGCCTTTTGATAAAAATCAAGATGTCTTTACTGTTGGTTTTCAGCAAGGGATCCTTAAACTTAATGCAAGATGACTCGCATCTTTAGGGGCTACTGAATACCAAACTTTGAAGGTCAAGGATGATAAAGGACAGAGCTTACATGGGCGCAGATGGTTATTTGTTGCATCTGAGAGTAAAGATACAGACAGGATGCAACCTGTCTTTACTTGCAGGTATTGCAAAAGGGCAAAAGCCAAGCCAAAGCTGTTTTTCATTATAGTACATGCAGGTGTAGCAAACAGTTAGCTGTTGGTTTGCAACAGAAAATTTGGAATCTTTTCCAATTTCTGTTAAGAGAAATTACCAATTTCAGAAACCCAGAAACTTTCTGAGCAGTTGCAGGGAGTAAAGGAAGCATTTCTTTTTGCCCAATATTCATTTTCCATTTATTTTGTTTCATTCTCTAGAATGAGCAGCTATTGACCCAAATGCAAAACTGGAAACCTTAATTTCTGCATGGACAAGTTAACTTTAAAAATTTGAGACTGCTCATCAGAAAAAATTGTTATTGCATAGGGATTTTGCACTGCTGATATGCAAAAAAGCATGCATATCTGTGTGCAGGCAATATATTACATGCGTGGAACAAAGTGTGACCCAAATACTGTTTTTCAAAGGACACAGAAAAATGATAAAAATAGCCTCAGAAAAATGATAAACATACATTTACAAGTGAAAGCCTGAATTCAAGCACCTTCTAAATTTTCCTCTCAACAGTGGATTTATTTGTTCCTTCTTTTGTTTTGCCAAAAATTTTACAGGAACTTTCCTGTTGTGTTTATAATGAATGATTCCACACAAAAACTTAAGATGATTTGTTAAAGGATCACTGCCCATGCTGTATATCAAAGTGGCATAATGGCAAGATAAAGGGAATGCATGTTTAAAAAATTCATAATTTATGTAAGTAAATATAGGCCTAAATATATGTATATCACCTGAACTTGAGTGGATTGAGGCGGGTAACCATTTCTGAATTAATGATAGATACTTTATCAGTCTTAAGTGATTTCAACGTACATTCATAACTACACAATTTTTATGTCTGCTGAAGCCATATGCTCTTGAATATCTTTTATCTTTCATCTCTTAATGCTGCCTTGAAAGTCTGAAATTTTTTAATTGTATCTTCAAAATCTCATGCCATAAACACAAAAAGTCCAGCTTTACATCTTAACACTAAAAACAAAACGTTTTCCACTATGTCAAAAACCATACAATCTTGATACACATTGTCTGATCTCCAACCAAGTGTTTCCTTGATTGTTGTTGTTGATTTACCTCCAGCTACTACCAATTTAGAAACACTGCCAAAAACAGAAACTTGTCCCACAGACATTCATCTGTGGCAAGTTGACAATTTTTGTTTTAAATGTTTTTATATGCTCAGTCTAGGGTTTTTCATGATCTGTCTTGAAGAAATAATTGTTTTGCATTAATGTGCATAATAATGTAAAAGTTTAAAAATATGAAATGGTAAAATTGTATGTTTCTTTCCAGTCTTTAAGAGAAACTCTTGCAAGGTTGGTTCCAGAAAAGAGAAGGGAGGTACAAGAGTTTAGAAAACAGCATGGAGATACAAAAATTGGAGATGTAACTGTTGGAATGGTAAGTTAAGCTTTTTGTTCATAGCATTCATTATGTTTTAAATATTTTACAATTGAAGAATAAAATAAATTTTTTTGAATCGTTGAAAGTGAGAGATTTCATATAAGTTTTGGAACCTGAGTATAAAGCAAGTATTAGTAATCTTATTTTGATTTTGTAAATTAATGGAAGGCTAATATAGGGTTGCTCTTGTTGATCACTTGGATGTATAAATTTCTGTTTTAAAATGCATTTATAAGCTTAAAACTGAGTTGAATTATCAAACTTTCCTTAGGCATATGGTGGAATGAGAGGCATAAAAGGCATGATTTGTGAGACATCTGTGCTGGATCCAATGGAAGTAAGTGAAACACAATTGAATGATGTGAGTGATGGCTTGAAAGCATGACCCGATAGCTCAGTGGTAGAGCACTTGATGTACAAAGTCAGGGGTTGTGAGTTTGAGCCTGGCTCGGGTCGGTTATTTTCCCGCATTCTCTATGAAACACAATTATATATATATTACTTGTTTATAATAATAATTCTAAACTAAATCTGAAGCTATTTAATTCTAATAATTGGACTTGTTAGGAATAACAATAAGATTGAATTCCTTGACTTGTTCATATGTTCCTGGAAGTTTATAATGCTTCAGGACTCTATAGTCCAAGAGTTTTATAACAGCTGGGAGTGAATGGGTTAAAATGTAGAAGATAACACACACTACTGCATTACAGTATGTTTTCTTAAGTCTTTATCTCATTTTCCCAGTCATTTCTCATGTGAAGCTCTCTTCATTGAAGATACACTTTTGCCAGGCTTTTTGGCCTTTTATGTGTTTAATTTAAATGTACAGCAACATTGAGTTAACACCCTTGTTCTGTTTTGGTACCCCATTATAATGTTACATGACAAGAAACTGACTCAAATTGTTGTCTTTTAGGGAATCAGGTTTAGAGGATACACTATTCCTGAATGTCAAGAGGTATTTTCTTTTTGATGTTTTTGATAGCTTTAGTAGAAAGTAAACATTCTACTCTCTTTCTTCCATCCACAAATTTATTATTCTCCATCTCTGTGATTAATGCTCTAATCAAATGGGAAGAGATTTGTGTCTATATATTGGATTATTCAGGGGCATTCAAAAGTCCACAGTTTTTAGAACACATTATCACCAAACCAAATTGACAATTATTGTCTCTCTCTTCATTCATATGGTCGATGATTCCTACTTCTTCTTACATCAGTATTTCAAATGAAACCTTTTTGCTTTCTTTATACCTTCCCTTTCTTTTGCATATACGGTGGTGCCCAAAATTAGCCTGAAAAGTTAATTTGAGAAAAGAGCACTTTCCCACAAGCAAATTAAGATAAGAAACACAGAGATTCCAGTTCTTATCCTTGAAATTGACCTCTGAGACTGATCGGAATCATTTGGAAGGAAGGAGAGAGAATTATTTGAAGTAATGAAAAAGTTGACCTCACTTGACATGCACCAATAGGCCAGCAAGTTCTGATTGTGTCAATTTTTCTGTTTCTTTTCATTTGAAGACTTCAAAACCTGTGAGAATATTAGAGTAGTGCAGAAGATTCCTTTTTTATTTCTTAGCCAATTTTTTTTCTACATATCTGCTTATGTGATCAAACTAATATAATGAGGTGACTTATTCCCCACATTCAATTATGTTATAATGTAAATTTCTATCAATTTTGATAACCTACCTATGAAAATCATTTCTTTAAAGATGCTTCCTAAAGCTGATGGAGGAAATGAACCTCTTCCAGAGGGTATCTTCTGGCTGCTGTTGACAGGGGAAGTCCCAACAAAAGCCCAAGTTGATGAAATTTCCAAAGAATGGGCTGCCAGGGCCGAGTTACCACAACATGTTGTTATGATGCTGAACAACTTTCCTGATGATCTTCACCCAATGAGTCAGTTTGGTGCTGCTGTAACTGCTTTGAACAACCAGAGTAAATTTGCCAAGGCGTATCATGATGGAGTGTCTAAAAAGGATTATTGGGAGGTATAAATGTAAACTATGTACATTATGTTTATGAAAATTACTGTTTTTCAGACTATCATTAGGTGCTTAATACTGTTTAGGCAAAGCTGTACATGCTATTTGTTGTATAGAACAGGATAGTTCTGATTGCTCCCAGTTTTATGCCTTGTTTAGTTCCCCCAGTTTAGTTCTATGCCAGTTTTATTCTGAAGAAGCTTACAGCGAAACGTCAACCAAGTTGTTTTTTATTGAGTATCTATATTTATATATATATATGTATAATATATATATATATATTATCATTTTTAGTACACTTATGAAGATTCAATGGACTTGATTGCCAAGCTTCCGGTCATTGCAGCTGTTATTTACAGAAATCTATACAAGGATGGCAAGGTTGCATGCCTTGATCCAAACGGTGATTGGGGTGCAAATCTCACTAATATGCTTGGCTACGACAACCCAACTTTTACAGAGCTGATGCGACTGTACCTTGTTATTCACAGTGATCATGAGGGTGGTAATGTAAGTGCCCACACAACACATCTTGTTGGAAGTGCCCTCTCGGATCCTTACCTCTCATTTGCAGCTGGCATGAATGGTTTGGCTGGACCTCTTCATGGGCTGGCTAACCAGGTAACAACCAGTTTTTTCTTCTTGTAAGATGATACATGCAATTTATGGGTCTTTTACTTAATGCCAATTTTTATGAAAATTTTGTATGTAAATTTATGTTTTAAGAAGTGTTCCCTAGCACTTTTAAATATTTTAAACTGTAACATGATAGCTAACCGGGTATGTAACTGCAATATGTTACTACAATGAATTAATCTGATACGTTCTGCATCAAATGTATTTGAAGTGGCTGGTTTTCTTTTAGGAAGTACTTCTGTTCATCAATAAGCTAGTACAAGACATTGGTCCAGATGCATCCCAAGAGCAAGTTAAAGAATACTGCCTAACTACACTCAAGACAGGGGTAATTATCATCATTTCACATGCTTGCTGCTATTTAAGCTCATTGCCCTCCTGGTGCGGCACCCCTCCTAGAAAATTCTTGTCGGCAAATTTTCTAAAAGTAGAATTTTGCTCTCAAAGTTCCCAAAGCAATAGCTTTAACGAACAGTTAGGATAAGATGAGGCTGTGAACTTAAAAGTATTTCCCAAAAGCCCTCAGCAATTCAAAACAGGAAAAGATAGCGCTTTGGGTGTCACTGAGGGGCAATTGTCGCCCAAAAACTTCAAATGACTCTCTTTCGGCAGCCGGAGTCTAGAATCTAATGTTCAATATCCAGAGCGACCTAATTTCTACCTAAAGTTTGGGGTTTAGGGAAGGGTCAAAGTTTATTGAAAAACTCTGAACGTTGATCCTGGAGGTACTGGAAGCCACTGTAAGCAGGGAAAGGGGGCAAAGTGCCTCAGGGCCTTGAGGTCGAGGGGGCCCTCAAGTAGTAATGAACTCCATTTTAAGAATAAAATCAATAAAACGTAGGTATGCCTAAAAATAGTTAAAAGTTCTAAACGATTGCAAGAAATGACTGCAAGAAATATTCTGAAATGCATTTTAAGACAATCTAAAGGGCGTGGCCACAAAAATTTCCTGCTCGCAGGGGACCTCGTCTTTCGGTTTGGTTTCAAGGCCTTTCGAAACCAAAGTACCCACAGTCACTCAAAAATTGAAGCGATGATTGACTAACGAGAACATCCTCTTTGATAAACAAAATCAATTGCGTCAAAATGCCACACCCCCGAATTGAAATATCTTAGGCAACGCCCTATTTTGTCGGCAAATTGGTGACTGGCACCCCCCTAAGCCAAAGTGCTTAGCGACGGCCCTGCTCCCATGTAAATATCCCTTCAGCGCTTAGCTCTTAGTGATTAGCTCTCTTTTATTTATTTTTGCTTTATTGCCTTTCTGTGTTGATGTTTGTGTATGATCTTAAGTTAATATACTGCTACTCTTAGCAGCCATATTTGGCACAGTGATATAAATGATAAAATGATTAATAACTAGAAGGCAGCTGAGTTTGATGTAAGCAGTTATTTGATTCAGCATTGACTGTTGACATCTTTAGGATATTTTATGCATGTCCCTAAGCACAGAATTTTGGGTGTAATTTGAAGAGTTTCAAGGTCGATCTATCTGTAGTTGATATCTTCTGCATGTCTAGCTCTTTTTCATAGTGTGTTTTATAAAGAATTGCATAAGAGCTGTGTGAATAGTAGCAGCTCATTGAGAATTCAAGGGAAATTCGGATCTTGATTGCAGTCTTTTCATGATGCAATCTTCTTGACTATTTGCAATTTTTTCTTAGCAACTCTTGTAAAACATTTAGTTATTGTCATGTTTATAATCGTTCTCAACATAATTCCATTTCAAATACATTATTTATATGTTATGTTGCATATTCAGGTTATTCCAGGGTATGGACATGCTGTTCTTAGGAAAACAGACCCACGTTACACTTGCCAGAGAGAGTTTGCCATGAAGCACTTGCCAGATGATCCTATGTTTAAAATAGTGAGCAATTTGTATGATGTTGTGCCACCCCTCTTGCAAGGGCTGGGAAAAGTTGCCAATCCATGGCCTAATGTTGATGCTCACTCTGGTGTCCTACTTCAGGTAATTGATTAATATTTTTAAATAAAACTATATGGAATTAACTTTGATTGCAAAGATTTCTTTACACATTTTTGCTTGACTTAACTTATTACTTAACTAGAGCAAATATTCCCAACATAAAATCTATCATGGTAACCGATTCATATTTCTAGATAATACTATAATATTTTTGCAAAGATGGTACTCAGAAAAATTATTTCGTACATTTCGAGGTGTCGATGTTTTTATTACAGAAATAGCATAATTACCTTTTTATTAACCTTTTTATACTGTATATCCTTGAATAAGCCCCTGGGAGCTTATTTGCAAAAATGAATCTTTGGGTGCAGGCTTATTTGAGGGGGGGGGGGCTTGTTACAAAGTTTGGTATTTTTATCATCAAAAAAGTCGCTTTTTTTGCACTTTGGTCTCCAGTCAAAAGAAGTAAACTATTGCCCTGTGGGGGCTTTCTTGAATTTAGAGGTTATTCTGCAAATTATGCTTGCTTAAATGATATTTTAGGTGTGGGCTTGTTCAAGGGGGGGATGGCTTATTCGAGCGTGGGGGCTTATTCATTGAAACCTTTATTGAAATTCCATTTAATGAAAATTATAAGATTTGTCATTTATTTCTTACGTGACTGTTGATTGAAGCTTTTATTTTAATTTGATGTAAGGAACTGTATAAACAATTATATTCTTGACAGGGATGTAGGAGCCAGGGTTGCACTAGGGCCAGGTACCCCCTTCCCCCAGCTTTTGGGGAAAATGTCCTTTTTTAAGAAGTAACCTCTTTGAAATAGTGTCTTCAATTTGTGATTTGATGCCCCTTCAATCCTCTGCCCCTCTAACTTTGAATTGCTTCAAACGTCCTTAATTCATTAGAATGTTAAAAAAGGCCACCTATCAGTGGGAATATTTTATAGAAAATTTTAATAGAAATGAATTGTCTGAACGGCTTGAGCCAACCATATGTAACGTTTCTAACCCAATCTGTAATGTCGTTTGCAGCATTATGGAATGACAGAGATGAACTTCTACACCGTTCTGTTTGGCGTTTCACGTGCACTCGGAGTTCTCTCGTCACTTGTTTGGGATCGTGCTTTTGGATTGCCCATTGAAAGACCAAAAAGCATGAGCACTGAAGGACTGAAAAAGCTTGTTGCAAATATGAAGAAGTAACTTCCCTAAAGAAATTTGTAAATTTAAGTTCCTTGTCGTGTAATTTCAACTAATGTAATAGTCACAGGAGCATTAATCATCAACACTAACTATTTGATTCCTTGCTTAACACTGTTAGGAATAATTTGCTGCGTAGTTTCACGATCAGATACTGTATTAGTTAAAAAACGACTAATTCTTTTTACGCAATACTTTCATCCATTTCATCTAGTGAATTGTTTTAATGTAAACGAGAGTTTAACAAGTAAATTTTGTGTGTATGCAGTTTTTGTCTAATATTTCCTTGTTTTGGTGTTGACATTAAATTTTCTAAAGATGTTCTAAACTTTTGGAGTTATTTTTTGTTTCGTTTTGAAAAGGAAGCTTGCTCATTAGCAGACGATACCGTCTTCTGCCTTTTCAGACAGAAGTAATGAGAGTTGAGCCTTCAAAACCGAGAGATCCAAGATGGTAAACATTATTTATTAATTATGTCGGCAAAAGTTCTGATAAAATTTATCCCTACTTGGGGCTTGTTTATTGCCCAAGCACTGGGTCTAAGTATAACGGTTTTTTAATATTTGGTGTTCGTTTTGGATTTTTCAGATAGTTGACAGCGAGTTTGTCAAGCTCTCTGTTATTAACATTTTCGGTCTTATTCTGTTAGCTTCAGTCTTATAAAGCAGAATACACTGTCATTTGACTGCTAAGGCGCCGATATTTGGCCGCGTCATTACGAAAAACAGCCTAAATCTAGCCGGTAATCATTTCTGCACTGACAAATATTCAACAAGCAACTCTGTTGTCTTCTCCTAACTGACCTTTTGGGTGCTTATTCAAAGTCTGCTTCTCGTATTTTTTTAATTAGAAATTCTCTTTTTTCTATCTCTAGTGACGTTGGTTTGAAGTTCTCAAAGGAATATTTTTTCGGAAATTACTAAAAACCTGTGTTGAGATTAACAAAGTTGTTTTCTAATTTGAATATATGCGCCACAGGCAGACAATAAAATTTATGATAAAATATGCAAAGCTAAAATATGTCTATTTCTTGTATTTAGGGCTGTGCAATGGAAATTTCGTTTCAAAGACGAGGATTTCTTTGCCATCTAGGTGTGCGTCTTCGGCAAATCTGATAGCTTGTCGGCAAAAAAGGGTGACTCACTAATTTGGCGGCAAGTAAGTTGTGAACACTGCCTTCTGTACAACAGCAAGCGACAGCCCTGTCTGTACGCAACGGATAGTAGCTTGTTGCGACAATTGCAAGAGGAACTGTGCAAATTTGCCTATGCATTTCTTTTACCTGCAGCTTCCCTTTTCCAAAATTATTCGTATGTCGTTAGTACTTTTTCAAAATTTTGTACTCCATGAATTTCTTTCAAAATTGAAGTTCCTCAAAATGTCTTTAAAGGAACCATGAACCTAAATTTCATGAATATCAAAATCATCACGAACTTTCTTTCTTGTTAATTATGAAAGAAATTGTTTGGAATGGATTGTCTTTTCAAACCACCGTTCTCTTTACTTAACATTAAAGTTGCAAGGAAAAAAATATTTTAGATTTATATTCCTTATTTCAAGCGATGATGTAGGGTATACTATTACATGTATGGGGGGGGGGGAGAGTCATACCCAAAAGTTCACTCAATCTGTCCTTGTCGAATCTCATTCTGTCCAATAATTTTTTTCCGTATTTTCCTGATCCAACTCATAATACTCTCAAGCCTGTTCGAAATTATTATACCAAAACAATATTGTCACTTTAATTTTAATTACCAGTGTCATTTTAACGGCACCTTTTTTCAAACCGTGACCACAAATTCTTCTGATGTCGTTATTTAGTTAACCAAGCCTAAATTTAAGTTCTTTACCAAGGAACAAACTTGTTTAATAGCAACATTTACTGACATAGAGTTTTAAGTTTCGAAGAGCTCTGTCCGTAGTCATTTCCCCGTTTTCCAGTTTTTCAATCTTCATATCTTTCAGTTTCAGCATCTTATTTATCAATTCGTCCTAAATGTAATTTTACAAAGTTGCTCGGTACCAATAATTACACATGAACTTGCATCAACAAATCATTTAAGTTGTACCAATGATGAAGCAAACTGTACAAGATCGGTTTTAAGAATTAATGATTAAGAAGGAGCTCTTTTCAGAGGCGGCGCCAGAAATCTTCCAACAGAGGGGCTAAAATGACTAGAATATGCAGTTTTCGTACGTTATTATGTCAAATTTGCTCCGACAAGAACCCAAAATTTCCTCCGATGGGGGGCTAGATGCTTTCAACTGTAAGCCCTCCTAGCTCTCCCCTGGCGCCACCTCTGGCTCTCTCGGAAAAAGCCTCTATCGAGCTAAGCATTTTATTAAGAACACGAAGCAATTAGATGACTATCTATCATTTTTAAACTGTTTTTAGAGAAAAAAATCTATAAAATTGCTACCCACAGTTGCCTGACGAGGAATTTTTGATTAATGGGGAATTGGTGAAGATGAGGCGGAAAACTGTTAGAAACGAATACACCTCAAGATTTTTTTCTGAAACAGGAAAGTGAAAATAGGTTAGGGAGTCTATCATATATGTTGTTATTGTAAATTTATTTTAATTCGATGAAAGAAACAATAGCTAACAATATATACGTAAATATATAATGTTAATTAATCAAAATCGAATATAGCTACCAGTTAGTACAAATAAAGGAATTATGGATACAAAATTAAAGATTACATTTCATTTTCTGGCAGAAACTGACAGGTAAAAATCCCCTGAACTCCATCTTTTAAATCTCTAAACAATATCGTGAGGTAAAAGTGAGAATATTTTCATTTTCATTTTGAGGTTATTTTATAAAAACTAACAAGTTTTTCTTTTTTCTTCTTCTTTCAAATCTTCTATTCTTTAGAAAGTTTCATAGAAAGACAAAGACAAAGTTTCATAAGAGGTCGAAGGCATATTATTCATCAATAAGAAAATTTCGCAAAAAGTATTTGTCCGAAAGGTCAGGATTGTAGGACTTTAACAACTGCTCCACTAATATCGTACCAATGAGCCAATGAGCATTCTCAGTTCTATGCCTCGAGAGCTCCACTTAGTGTAAAGGGCGTTGTGTCCTTTGTGAAGCTCTTGATCTGTTCTAAAACTCTGGAACAACTCCATCTTACAGCTTCATTTGAATTTATCCCCTGAGGGAGCTTGAATTACAATTATCGATTTGTCATAACGCCATAACTCAAAAAATATGTTGCTTTTCACAAAATACTTTGTGACATCTCCCCGGTGATGAGAACAGCGTAACCTCGTTTTCGATTGGGAAGGAAAAACAAGATGGACGATGAACTCATAGATTCTTTACAGGCTGTTCCTCTATGGAAAACTGTTCCTCTTGACCTGCCAAACTCCTGTTTGATGATAAACTCAAATTTTGTACAGAAAGAATTGACTTACAATATAAATGCCTTTGATGGCTCCCACTTTTGGCAAGAATCTGTCACAAAGAAGGATTTTTTGAAGAAATGCAAGGTAAGTTCAGTAATCTTGAACGAAAGTTACTGTTTTGTGCAGAAGTTATGCCCAGCCATAGTGGGCCTGCCTGAGCCGTCGCTCCCATGCAAATGGTACCCTTCGTGTAAAATCTGTACCTGACGTGTCAAATTTTCAAGCATGAAAAAAGTAAAGAAACCAATAAAACTAACAACAGATGATTATTTTTCATGTATTCGGCAACTCTTCTTTATCCACTTTCACGTAATGTCGGGGTTATTGCCAATCGTTTTCTGTCAATACTCAATAAAGTAAACCGACCACTATAGACCCAGTGAACACAAGACAAAGTTCCCACGGCTATGTGATGAGTCCTGTTCAGAAAGGCAAGGGGATTCCCTGTGAATCACCCATGAATGCTGGGGCGTACGGTCAATAATAAATCAAATTTTTTTCTCAAAAACACCTATCTCTTCTTATTTGAAGGAACGCAAACGAAGGAATATTCGAAGGAATACAAAGTATTATCAAATACGTGTGCAATTAGGTCTTGTTGAAAATAAATCAGAATCTAGCTTTTTTTGTTCCGCCACCAACACCAAGGAGACGGTGGAGATTTAGTCTCTGGAAGGTTTGGCTCGATGTTTAATGATAAGGTTTAATATCAAATACCTGTGCCATTAGATTGGTAACACAATTTCTTGTCCAAAATAAATCAGAATCTAGCTTTTTTTATTGATGCCTATAATAAAAAAGGCTTTTATCTTCTACTGTGCTTTACTTGTTGATACAAATTATTTATATGAGAAATCCAAGAAAAGATCCATGTGGAACACCAAAATCTAATTCTTCCATTTGTGACGTAACCGAATTTTTCAAAGCAAACCTCCATCTTATGCCTTCCCCTCATCGTATAAGGGTCATTCCATGTCAAATTTAAGGTCAGTGTCACCCACCCTCTCAGATTTTGATGAATTTTACAATAAATATTCAGTCCCAGGAGAAACCACCTCACCCAAAATTTCAGCACAATAGGTTAAGGCGTTCCGGAGATACGGCCAGTCAAAAGTTGGCTCATTTTAAGGCGTGGTCCGCCCAAAATTTGTGCCAGCGATAAATAATAACATTCAAAGTCCTGTGAAAGTTTTTTTTATCACAATATTTACATCAAATTATCAACACAGTACATTCTGATAGTGCAGATTTCAAATATGACCACCAAAACATCAACAAAGCAAAGCTAAATACTCAAAAAGTAGGTTAAAAGTTTATATTAGACTTCTTAGATTTTGTGACTAGCCAATTTGAATGTCATTTTTTGCAAAGTCTGCAAAATTTTCAAGAATTGAAAATAGTACCAGCTGAAAGCTCTTGAATTGGGCTTTTTAACCATATAAATATTATCATTTGTATATTCAGCATTACTGAGATTATTTTAGTTATAAAAGAGTAATAAAATTTGCGAAACTTGCCTCACAACCATTCTGTATGCCAAATGACTGGCAAAATATTTGTCAAAACATATAGCATTTTTTTCAAGAACAAATAGAAGTAGATGCCTAAGATGAAAACTATTACTAATCAACTTCAAGATACCATCTCTTGAGAATGAGCTTAGGGTGATGTGCATTTGCTTTCACCATGAATGGAAACTGGGAGCAGACTTTGAAAGGAGATTTACAAAATGCTGCAATTTACTCAAGAATCACAAAAAAGTGTTAAAGGTGGTCATAAAATTTCCCTTGCACTGGCTAGACTGCTAAGAGCAAAAAAGTTTGTGTGTGTTCCAGGGTGGCAGCTTTGTCGAAATTGTTTAACAAAGTTAGAACATTTGGAGAAAGATAATGTAATGACTGAATCTCATGATAAAG